ACAAGTTTATTTCGAAATTTAATTTCTTGTCGAAATGATAAATCATCACGTCGTTTCATCATCGATTCAACTAATTGGCAAACACGTATACGTATAGCAACAGCACCAACACTTGTATCCAAATGTCGTGCATAACGAACAATATTTAAAACAAGTTGTTCTAAACTTATAACATTTGCTAATGGATTTTCACTAGTTTGTTGTGGTCCACCACGTCCACTTCCATTTGTTGAATTTGAACTTGAATCATTTGATGAACCACCAACAACCGATGGTGATGAACCAGCATTATTACCTGATACACCTAATGTATTCGATGAACCAGTCGTTGCTGTTGGTCCTTCTAATGAATTTTGTGCAGCTTGTTGAGCTTTCATTTCAAATACAGAACGCATTATAACAATAACATTATCAATAAATTGTGTATTTTGTTCTGAACATATAACTTGACCATTAGCATCAAAAAATTTATCAACTTGAATTTTAATTTGATCAAATAATATTGGATAACATAATGGATTTAGTTCATGACCTAATAAATCTTGTATATGACGTTGAATTTGTATACCAAATTTTTCATTTTGACAAACCAAATATTTTAAACAATCACCAATAAATCTATACATTTAAATTAGTTCATTTTTAAAAACAAAGAAAAACTTACTGTGTTACTGGACAATAATGAAGATCAGAACTAACAGGTTCCATTGATGTACGTCGAGTATCAGCAGGTATTCCATGTTGACTAGAAGAAAAAAAGCATTTTTTATTATTTCTCAAATATGAATAGTCGATTCTATTGAATTAAGTTGTCTTCTTTTAACTTGAAAATTATTTCGTATATGATTGGTAAAACGATCATAAGTATGTATGAAAGCTTATTGTGACACTACAAATCTAATCATATATCAGTTTGACTCTATTTCTTATCCTCATACATTGTTGCTTATCTATCATTCAGTAAATTATTTTCAATTTAACTAACCCTGGTCGATTTTTAATTGGTAACCATACACTTCCAAGTGCACATAAAAATCCAGTCATATTTGCCCATTCATTAAAAACATCCTAAAATTATTTAATGAAATAGTTCTTTTTCCTATTCAGAATAACATACTTCAATTTCATGTTCACTTGAATGAACACCAGCTCTTCGTTTACTAATTTTGGAATAACCACTACCAGTTATAATACTTGTTTCACTTCCACTAACTGATGTTGAACTTGCTGTTGATCCTCCACTATTCAAATCATCAACACGTTTTGGATAAATAGCTAGAAATTTTGCCAAATGTTGTTGACTAACAAATGTATCATACCAAGCTTGTTTATTTCCAGGTGTAGCATATTCAATACGTCTTAATAATAAAAGAATTTTTTTTTGTAATGCATTTCTTCCTGTTGTAACTAATGTTGTTGATGCTGCTGATAATTCCATATAAATATTATAATTAGGTAAAAGTGCTAATACAGCTGTTTCATCAAAACCAAAACGAATATCCGCTTCATAAGCAAATAAAGCAAAACATGACATGGCGATTTTAACAGCTTCAGGATCAATCGACCATAGATAAATAAAAAAAACAATTTCTAATTTTGTATGTGCATGTTTAGCCATTGGAATATTTGAACCAAGATAAGCATTATCTTTATGATGAAAAAGAAAAGCATTACGTAAAACAAGAATTTCTCTTAACCAACGTAATACAGATGTATATTCATAGATTTGATGTAAAACTAATTTTTGTGAAATTGAAAAAAGTACTTGACTTGATATTGACCAAAATGTATTTATAGATGCTTCAGGATTCCATAATTCAATATTTCGTGTTTCATGTAAAACTAATAAAGATTCCATTGCTGCATGTGCAACATCAGGCATCATTGATGTATCATGAACAAGTGATACAAGACCATTAATTAATTCAAATGTTGACATTTGTGTTTCATGATCAAGTTTATTTGGATTATGTAACATTAAATATGGATCAACAATGATTAAACGTACAATCCATAAAAGTAATTCACG